GAGTTTAAACGCCCGACTGGCCAAAACGGGGTACTTTGGCCACGGCGACCTTACTCATGACTGGCACAAAAGGGACACTTCAGCACTTAAAGGTTAACATAACTGCAGGAGAATGTCATGTCATGTCATGTCATGTCATGTCATGTCTGTTTCCACTGAACAAGATAGGGCATTGTGCATATTCAGCATAAGAATCAAATGGAAATCATTTGCTCAGATGTTTTGTACCATGGGACTCAGTTCATTTCCATCAGTTCAAAAGGTTAGCAACAGTAATGAACTCCAATATATTGTAGCATTCTACAACACTGCAGCGTGTCACACACATCAAAACTGTTTTACTTACAACATGAAATACTGTGGCATACTGCTACTCACATACTGTTCCTTTAGTCTAAACCCATCTCTACTGCTCTGATTTACTACACATTTCAACATGTATGCGCTGATGTGTCTAACGATTACTCTGATGTTATATTTTAGCGTCCTGTTGCACTGATTTAAGTCCATGATTTATTTAAACCGTCTTGCAGTGCACATACTCATTTATCTCCTTCTCTCCCTCGCACTACATGTTTCAGCATAATACTGCCATCTTCAGGTGCTTACTTATCCACGTCAAACTAGTTCATTGTATGCAGTCACAGGAGCAAGACACAACAAAAGCACAACACACACATGATAGTGAAGGAGTGCTCCAACAGAGGAGAATGGGCGTGACTAGTGTAGTGAGGTGCGACGAAGTGATGTGGTATCCTGTACAATTTTAATAATATTTTTAACGTTTGACAATGTATATGATAGATACATATTTTAGTTATTTTAATATGAGAACAAGGCATACAATGAACTAGTTTGACGTGGATAAGTAAGCACCTGAAGATGGCAGTATTATGCTGAAACATGTAGTGCGAGGGAGAGAAGGAGATAAATGAGTATGTGCACTGCAAGACGGTTTAAATAAATCATGGATTACTCTGATGTCTAAGTGACTCTTTACGTACATCACATCAAAATGCCTTCTCCCTAATATGTATGTGCATATGCCTCTTCAGTTCACCCTTTGAAATGAACGACTTTTTACATACATCACAGCAAAATGGCTTTTCCCCACTATGTATGCGTTGGTGTGTCTTCAGCGTACCCTGCTGACTGAATGACTTATTACGTACATCACAGCAAAATGGCTTCTCCCCACTATGTATGCGTTGGTGTCTCTTCAAATTACTCTGCCGACTGAATGACTTATTACATACATCACAGCAAAATGGCTTCTCCCCACTATGTATGCGTTGGTGTATCTTCAAACTACTCTGCTGACTGAATGACTTATTACATACATCACAGCAAAATGGCTTTTCACCACTATGTATGCGTTGGTGTTTCTTCAGGCTACTCAGATCACTGAATGACTTATTACATACATCACAGCAAAACGGCTTCTCCCCACTATGTATGCGTTGGTGTGTCTTCAGAGTACTCAGTTTACTGAATGACTTATTACATACTTCACAACAAAAAGGCTTTTCACCACTATGTATGCGTTGGTGTTGCTTCAGGATACTCAGATGATGGAATGACTTATTACATACTTCACAGCAAAATGGCTTCTCCCCACTATGTATGCGTTGGTGTTTCTTCAGGCTACTCAGAACACTGAATGACTTATTACATACATCACGGCAAAATGGCTTTTCACCACTATGTATGCGTTGGTGTTGCTTCAGGCTACTCAGATCATTGAATGACTTATTACATACTTCACAACAAAAAGGCTTTTCGCCACTATGTATGCGTTGGTGTGCCTTCAGATGACTCTGCTTTCTAAATGACTTATTACATACATCACAACAATATAGCTTCTCCCCACAATGTATGTGTTGATGCGTCTTCAAATTACTCTGCTGACTGAATGACTTATTACATACATCACGGCAAAATGGCTTTTCACCACTATGTATGCATTGGTGTGTCTTCAAATTACTCTGCTGCCTGAACGACTTATTACATACATCACAGAAAAATGGCTGCTCCCCACTATGTATGCGTTGGTGTGTCTTCAGGCTACTCAGATCACTGAATGACTTATCACATACATCACAACAATAAGGCTTCTCCCCACTATGTATTCGTTGGTGTGCTCTCAGAATTATCTGCTGACTGAATAATTCACCACACTCATTGCAGGAATATTGTCGCTCCTCACCACGTACGGGTTGAAGTACATTCAAGTTACCCTGGAAAATGAGAGTAAATAACATGAAAAATCCTAATAAGAAGAGAAATGAGTTTGAAACCTCAGTACAGTGAGATATTAAATCGGTAGGTGTGAAAGTGGTAACAGAGAGGGAAGGGAGGGACAGAGAGAGCACACCCCCTTGTGTGGTGTAAGCCTGAGTCCATCAGCATGTGTGGAGGTTTCTGAGTCAAGAGCAGTTAAGCTGCACTGCGACTGTCTCACAAATTGCATTATTAAATGAAATTATGCATTTGTAAGGCTGGACAGGCATTCAAATAATAGGGGATAGGCTCCTAGTATGAAATAACAATAAAGTCTGTATATGTGTGTGTGTATAATAGGCCTCAAAAAGAATAATAGCATAGTGTCAGTTCAATAGATATGTCCACCATGATACCATGAGCAAATCCATATGAGTCATCTCCTAGGTTGCCACACAAGATCCCTTGACAATGTAAATGTTTGGCTTTTGCCAGAAAATGGCCACTATATCTGGATGTGTGAAATGATATTGGGCACACCACACTGTGTAGAAGCAGGAGTGCAAACGCTTTGCAACAGCTACATATGTATATAAAATTTATACAGAAGTGTGCAGTCACTTCACAGTTTATGATACCACACAATCTCGACGCGCGTGTGCCACTTCTCGAAGCAGTCCATGACATGCAGCTCAACATTACACTTTGTGCAATAGAAAAAGGGTACTCCTACTTTTATTATGTAGTGACACACATGGCGTCTTTGTTTCCCTTTGGTTGGCCAGTGTTGTGAATGTTTCACCTCCAGTCAACTCAGTTGGGCGCCAGATGAACTTGGCCTCCACCGAGAAACGCCACTGACCGTGATATTCATTTTTGCAATTAAAGAATCATCTTGGAGGACGGACATTTCCAGGAAATTTGAATAAATTATGTTTATTTACAAAGCAACACTCTCACCTGTTTGTAATACTCACAAAATATTGATGCAAAGTAATTATATTATTAGTCAGAAAGAGTGCCAGGCCGACACTGATACTGGAAGTCACAGTGATGAAGATGCTTTTTACTCACAAAGTAATACAGGCCAAATGGGTTTATACCTCTTCCGAGACACAGAATAAAATATTGTGATGTATTTGCGCTATGCATGACACCCCCCCCCCTCCAGCAGTGGCGTGAAGGCATCAAAGCAAATGCGGCTACTACAGTAATAGGCCAGCAAACACTCTGCCGTCCCCCCACGGTGATGTAACAGCACTTCTCCCTGTAACGTAACAGGTGACACCGCCGTTAACGTGAGGCAACAGGGAATGGTATGAGAAGCCAGCTGAGCAGTATGTGAGCAGTGTGTGATCAGGAGTGACACAGTGTGGATCACGTGGATCGTGACGTTGCCGAGAGCAGTGGAAGTAACTGTGATACTGACAGTGGCAGTAATTGTAAATTGTATAAATGTGCGAGCCAATGTGGAATAAATTCGCTATATTCAATATGGCATGAAGTTATTTGTCATGTTACATTCCCAACATGTGACAATATACAAAGAAATATATGACAATCCGACACTGACTTCCTACCTAATAATTCGTTACTGAAAACCAATCCTTCAATACATCACATTTCCTTGATAGCTCTGGAAGCACTAACATGGGAGCAAAGATGAATATTTACTCCTCAGTTCTCAAAACAAAGCTGGGCTCTATTTGGCTGCTGACACCATAAACAGTCATATCTAAATATAAATAGTATCATAACCAGTAGCGTGATAAACAATTTCATTCTTCAGAGCTAACGAATGAACCACTGACATGAACTTGCAGGCGTTTGTTTTGGTTTCAAACCCAAGATCAAACTGTCAGCACTACCAAAGTGAGCATGAGTCTTATATATAACATTTGGCCAACAGGGGGTGCTTCTTGCTGTAGATATATATAACATTCGTCCATTTAAGGGTTAATCAGAACGACTTCTGCTGCTGCAAAGAATGGCTACGTGTAGGGGGACAGCATTTTCAACACCTTCTGTGACCTGTGAACTGTATGCTTCATTCCACACAATAATGGCCACAAGCATACTGATTCATTGGCAAAATTAGTATGCGCCTTGCAGCCACTGGTGCATCAGTCATTGTGAACTGGCTGAGAAAAGTAAGAACCTCTGTCTATATGTATATATACAAATTTTCTTTGATGTTCATTAATAGCCTTATTAATGCGTTTAATTACATGCATTGCATATTTCACTTCACCACAATTATGTCTATATACTTGTATTAGGATGTGTTGCCAATGCCAGTTCTTCACTATTGCTCTCTACACCTTTTACACATCCTTTGTATCTAATGTTCAGTCACCTTTCTGTCTGAATGAGAACCAATCACCTGACAGCAGGTACAGGGGCAACGCCAAGAGTGTCAGGTATATTAAATTTACTTCAAACAAAGGGCAACAGGTAACACGTGTCTATATTCAGTCACACATTGTCACAGATCTTTAGAGAATCATTAGTTATCCTGTTACAAATCCTCAACACAATGACACCTCTATGTTATTACATGGATACAGACTGCATGGGAGACAGAAAACAAATGATAAACTTCAGCATTTTTAGACCCTGGGAACTCTATGATGTAGTAGTACCAAAGCACTGCTCAGTGGATTAGACAGACAAAGAAAATATGAAGGATTTTTCTGGTACAGAATTTACGACAAACATTCAGTGTATAGAGTATTTCATTTCATCTATATTAGATCTGCTCAAAAGAAAATGGGACTGGTACTTCACAAGCAACATTCTATAAACTACAGTTGCCTGGAGACATTTCAGGAAAAATAAATCTTCAGAATCTAGTCAACACCACAGCGGAGTTGTTTCATGTTCACAGACAAGACAAGCACACTTGTGTCATCTGCCTAACAGCGCACTCACACATACAGCTCACCTCAGGTTCAGCCTTTATTTCTGGAAATGTTACTGGGACAGGATCCTCTTCCTCTTCTGCATCTGAGACTGCCTCAGCTTTTACATTCATGGCCTGATTTGCATCATGAGTTGTTGGGTATGCCTCACCATATGGACCCACTAAAGTATTTTCCAATTTTGTACAGTTCTGTAAAAACCATCACATCCTTCTCAGAAATGGATGCACAACACCCTACATTAACCAGCATATGTTCTCCTTGCTATGTTGGTTTCTTGTCACATTTAACTCATATAAGAGCTGTTCTGTACAGATGTTCTTCCCTGCAGCTATCACTAGATAGTACTCGGTTGAAACGTACCAATGCCCAGGACCGAAAAGTGGTTTGGGGTAGAAAAATATTTTAAACAATACACACACCAAATAAATATAATAATATAATTGGTTGAGTGAAATAAAAATACAAACTGTCCCAGATGAGGATGGCACAACATAAAATCGTTCACCAACTCCACCGTTAATTTAGTAAACCAAAAAGTTCAGGAAATAATTTGGGGATGGGACAAGCACCAGACTCTTCCACGGCGTACAGCAGAATCCCCTTGCAGTGTTCAGACGAGCCTGCTAGTCCCTGGTGAAAGGATGAAGGGCGCAAGCGTAGGGCAGGAGGAGGGGAGAAAAGGAATGAAGGGGGGTTCTAGTCGAGGGACACGGTGGTAGTCTCTGACGTTACAGTCGTCCCCCCTGAAGGAGACGCCGGGGGTGATTCCATTTACTGGGGCTCCTGCCTGTTGACAAAATGGAGTGCCAGGCCGTCGTATCAGCGTTGCAGCTACCCTGCTGTCAGTCTCAATGTTAAGTGCTTTCACTGACTGCGAGAGAACATATCTACACTGCACTACGTGGGGTTGGATGTGCAGCATAGCCGAACCATAAGTGGGGCGCCTGGACAGACAGGGATAAGAGCCCAGGCATCTCACCCCACAAATTGTTTGCTACTTAATAAGTGCACCGTTGTCATGTCCATAATATGCCTGATGATGCAGTAAGCCTCCAGTAAACACAGGGGGGGGGGGTGTCTTAACAGGTACTTGACTGTGCTTCGCACTTGGACATAGAGACGGTGGATCAGTTCCACCCTTCGGCATAAGGCACTGGAAAGAGGGTAGCACGGGAAGGGACAGCGCAGCCCATCCGAACTAAAGGTCAACCTGCAATATGAGCTGGGGCATGTGAAGAATACAAACACAATCAAGATGTCAGAACCGATGAGACAATTCCATTTCATAGGCTCTGGTTAAACTTCCAAGCTGTACAGTAACACAAATAACATTGTTATAACCTCAGTTGCTGGGGATCCACACACACACACTCACACTAAAGTACACACACATAGTCATGACTATACCTAAGTATGCCAGCGCCAATGCAACAATATCATAATAGTACTCTAAGGGCCCATATATATATATATATATACATACTTCCGAGACATCGGAATAGAAAAGGAAAGTACCTCCAGGCACTAAGCCCAAGGGACCCTTTACACAGAATGGCCGCAAGGCCCACATACAAGAAAACATATATTGATCTGTATAATGTTCCACTTATATATGGGAACCTAGGAGTCCCAAGGCGCTTATACAAAGTGCATGCTAGCATGGTGCATAAGTATACAGAAAAGCACCACAAATTACCAAAATCATATCACATTTGCATTTACAAACCTAGTGGTCAGCCACTCACGCAGCTTTCAACTGTGAGACGTGAGTGTGGATCCTGCTGCCGCCGTCAGAGTCGGTGAGCTGAACAGAAACCGGAGAGGTAAACTTGACAATGGTAAAGGGTCCCTTATATCTGGGACAAAGTTTGGCCGCAACGTGTTGGGACGCTTTACTGAGGGGATAATTCTTGAGCCAAACCTTGCTTCCAACGTGAAAAGGAGGGGGTCGGCGGCGTCGGTCATAGGTCCTGCGCACGACAGCATGCGCCAGTCGGAGATTTCTACGCGCTGTCTCCCAGCATTCCCAGATGGAGTGGAAATCAGGGGTTTCAGGAAGTAACTCCTTGATGAACCAGAGGTTGGAAAGGGGTGAGTTGGGCGTAAAGGAAAACATCAAACTGAATGGAGTGGTCTTATGGGACTCGTGGCGAGCCGAATTAAATGCAAACCGGAGCCAGGAGAGGTTCTCATCCCACCGGGAATGGTCTTGATGGTGGTAAGCAATCAACGCCGCCCGTAAATTCCGGTTGACCCTCTCGGCATAGGAGGGCTGAGGATAGTACGGTGTGGTGGTGACATGCCTGATGCCTTGGGCAAAACAGAAATTGCGAAAGTTGCGAGATGTGAACTGCTTGGCATTATCGGATACAATGATCTCGAGAATCCCAAATGTGGAAAAGATGTTCAGTAACAGCCGAATAGTCGTAGCAGTAGATGCTTCCCGGACCGGGAAAATCCAAACAAACTTGGTAAAAGCGTCCACACAGACTAGTGCATAGGTGTTACCTGCCTTTGACCGGGGGACTTCCCCACAAAATCTACAAACAACTTCTCCAATGGGCGAGTAGCCACGTCAGAGGCCAGCATACCCTAACGGGGATTCTGGGCGGGCTTACTGAGCCCGCAGAGCTTGCACGACCGTACTCTAGCGGAGATATCCGCATCCATACCCTTCCATATGAAAGATTGTCGAATTTTTCAAAGCGTTTTTCGCACTCCTAGGTGGCCCCCACAGGGAGACTCATGGAAATAACTAAAGAGAGCGGGAATTAAGGCCTGAGGAATGACGATGTTAGGCCGACTGTCAAAACAGCCTTGCAATAAAGTACGCTCTTAAGTAGAGAGTATCCGGGTACTTCTTGCCCCAGTGACAACTGGTCCATAATGGGGCAAAGTTATGGGTCCCTCCTCTGGTGTGCAGCAAAATCCTCGAATAGGACACGGAAATCCAAAAGTAGCGAACAAACAGGTTTTTCGGCGCTGGGGTCATACATGCGTGAGAGAGCATCCGTGATGACATTTTGGGTTCCCCTAATGTGCTGCACATTAAATTTGAACGAGGACAACCTCACAACCCAACGACCAATTCTCCCGAGTTGGCGGGGATGGGAGAGACATGACGTGAGAGCCTGACTGTCGGTCTGCAGATCAAACTCAAGGTGTTCAAGGTACGGCCTGAATTTTTCCAAGCCAAAGCGGACTGCTAAGCACTCGAGTTCGTATGTTGAAAATTTCCTCTCAGGGTGGGATAACATGCGTGAGGCGTAAGCAATAGGCTGCAGCTCACCATCAAACTGCTGTAACAGCACCACCACAACCGCCACCGAACTAGCATCGGTCTGGAGCATGAACCTGAGGGAGAATTCGGCAAGCTTCTAATCCTGAAATGCACGTATCTGATCAGGCCCCAACTGAAATTTAACGTCTTTCTTTCTGAGTAGGTTAAGGGGGGTGGCGCACTCGGCGAAATGAGGAATAAATTTGTGAAAAAAATTCACCATGCCAATAAACCTGGCGACCACTTTAACATCCCTGGGAGGAGGGAACCTTCTAATGGAGTCGGTTCTGCTTGGGTCAACGGAGATACCGGAGGGTCCCACAATGTGCCCCAGGAAAGACAGGTGAGGCATGGCGAATTTAACCTTTGCGGGATTAACGGTTAATCCTGCGTGGCGTAATCTGAGAAAAACCTCATGCAGATGATGTATGTATTCTTCGAACGAATCACTGTAGGCCACCAGATCGTCAAGATAGTGAAATACGAAGTTGAATTTTAAGTTGGAAAACACTTTGTCAAACAAATGTGTCAACAACTGGGCTCCAGTGGCCAACACAAATGGTACCCTAGTGTATTCCTACAAATTCCAGTTGGTGGCGAACGCAGTCAGAGGTTCTGACCGGTCAGTTAATCCAATCGGGTGATATGCCGAATTGAGGTCAAGCGACATAAACAGTTTGGCTGTCTTAAACCAGTGAAAACATGAATGGATGTCAGGCAATGGGACCAATTCAATTTTGATCTTCTTAAGAGCCTGATAATCAATAACCGGACGAAACACATTTTGCCCTTTAGGCACCAAGAATATAGGGCTGGAGTAAGGGGAAGTGGAAGGTTGTATAATGCCTTCATCAAGCATAAGACGAATATGCTGTCGCAATATCTCCATTTTTGGGGGCATGAGCCGGTAGGGAGGAACCTTGACAGGGGATGGATCAAGCAACTCAATGTCATATTGCAAGAGTGTAGTGAGCCCCAATCTTGCGTTTAACATGTCAGGAAAGTCATCAATGAGGGAGCGCAGGAGGGTAGAGTAACTGTCCTTCAAATGTGACAGATCCGGGTTAGCCGGCATGGCAGCACACACTCACGACTTATCGTCGGGAGGACTTCGCCCCAGTAAATGCAACCTGTTAGTGGGGTCGAATCTAAAAAACGCGTGTCCCTGCTGAACATCAATCATCAAACCCGTCTTCCCTAAAAAGCAGCACCCAAAATGACGGGCTGAATCAAACTGGGAACACCGTAAAATGGGACTTTCCATGTATAACGATCAATCCTGATCTAACACTTGACTGCAGTATGAACTGGGAAAGTCTGAGCAGACGCGGTAACACACTTTACTGTCACAGGATAGGTGTGCAGAGAAGGGACTGCTTTCATAAGGGAGTTATAGGAAACGTCGGACATCAAAGAACGGACAGCCTGAGTCTAAGAGCAGACCAACGGGTCCAAAAGCGAGCTCCACCTGAAGACAGGGTAAACTATATTCCAGAACCCCCTGATTCGTTGATTATGAGAGTTGGAAATAGTGTGGCTGAACAGGGTGGAACTTTGAGGTGGGCGATTCCCACGTGGAGGGGCTGGGTTACGTGCTAGTCAGAGTATTTGGTTGACCTCGAGAACTCTCAGTAGCTGAGGTGGGTAACCGGACATAACAGTCCTTGCGAGCGTGACCGGGTCTATTGCACCAATAACAGACGGTCCTCGAACGGGCCGAAACAGGCACAGCGGACATGTGCCGATCGGATGTCGCCGAGTTCAATGGAGTCCCCGTTTGGGAGGTATGACTCTGGTCATTACGCAGAATACTATGTGCATATATGCACATTTTAT